GAGACACGGTGCCTACCCGAGGCCAACTTGGCGCGGTCAGCCAGCTGGAGAACAAGGAAAGATGGCGACGCCCTTTAAGTACTGCGGGGCTGAGACCGTGGGCGGGGCCATTGTAGAGGCACGGCAGATTTCCGTACGGCAAATTTGGCTGGGATGCGGACACTGGCAGGAGCCAGGTATCACCGGAGAGGTGGCGGTCACAGAGTTGACAAAGGGGCGGTCATTTAAAGGCTTAGGTCTGTGGATGTGGCCTTAGTTTAGAAGGAAGTAAGACAGCCCTTGAAAGGTCGAAATCAAAAGGGTGGAGCGCCATAAAAATAATTCCTTGGTGGGAGTGGACACAGCTCCTTTTGTTGGGGAAGGGCGTAAAGTGCAGGTGCAAATGTACTTGTTTCCTAACTAAAATAAATGAAGACGATGGTGGGGCATTTGAAAATACGAAATTAGGACATAACACAATTATTGCACTTTGCATAGTTACCAACCAAAAAAAAGGAGCACACTTTAAAATGTTATTTTAATGCAGATGCAAGAAGTTTGATCGTAGGAGATTTAAGTAGATATGGATACTTCCTGTACGGAAGGCAACCTGGATCCATTTTAAACTTTACATTTTCTTTGACCCGGAGATGCTAATTACAGCACTTTGGTAAAAAGCTTTCTTACTATCAATCAGAGCGGGCTTTGTAATCTAAAAAGGAAAAATCTGAAAGTACAATGATGAATATTTTGGCCAATTAGGGAACATCCCCTTAGCATAACAGTATACAACAATTAAAAAATGTACTATTGTCATTATAAATTAAAGAAATAACTGTTATTCAGAGGACAAAAAAATCAGATCTGCAGGCCAGTATGTATACACATTATGACCCTGTTATGGGAAGTTATGTTTGTCTTTTTGAAAATTGTGATTAAATAATATATTTACTTTGGATTACTTTAGGATTTGTACTTATGAGTGGAAAATATCAAAAGTTTCACATTCTCAGTTTTTGCAATTCTGCATTGTAAATATCTTTATAATTACATGCTACTTTAATAACATAAAAAGAGGTTGACTTTATAAAAAGTTTTAGAATATTTAATTATGGTATTCATAATATAGTCAAATAAAATAGTCTCATTTTTCATTCAAAATATACTTTCATGCATTTGAAAGATTGGGAAGAATATAGATAACAATGCTTGGCTCAGGTACAAATATGTACCTTGGCTTGGGGTGATTTAAAATGTCTCCATTTGCTGCCTGGCTGGTATAGCCAGTGGATTGAGTGTGGGCTGCAAACCAAAGGATCACTGGTTCGATTTCCAGTCAGGGCACATACCTGGGTTGCAGGCCAGGTCCCTAGTGGGGGATGCGTGAGAGGCAACCACACATTGATGTTTCTCTCCCTCTCTTTCTCCTTCCCTTCTCCTCTCTCTAAAAAAATAAATAAATAAAACCTTTTAAAAAAGTCTTTATTTGCTTATGTGTTTTCTAATTTATACACATTAATTTGTTTTCATAATATCTTAATAGTAAGAGTACTATATTCCTTTCAGGGATTACATTCAGCCTTATTTACCTGGGATATCAAGTTCTGAAAGGTGAGCTTAGCATCTGTTCCAGAAAGCTCAGGGCAGCAGAGGAAGCCCATTCTGGGACCCTAACTAATCAGTTTCAGGAATGAGCTGATGTGATGCCATGATGGGCAGCATGTGTAGGTTCCACAGGACAAGAAGTGGAAATGATCTGAAGGCCTGGATGATGGAGCACTGGTGTCTGATTCTTTGCTGTAGAATATCTGCCCAGAATCCATCCTGATATAGTGTGGGGGTGGTGATGATAACACTAATCCAGGAATTAAGGCAGAGATGTTCAAATTTAAATATAAATATAAATTTAAATATAAATTACCAACCCAGAGTCCTGGATTCCAGTCCTACAGGTTCCAGTTTGGGAGGTCTGGGGTGGACTCAAGAATTTGTATCTTTTACACTCTTTTTGGAGAATCCTGAGGCAGAAGATCTGAAAAAACATTTAGGAACAGTCATGGAGTATTTCCGGCTTATGAATATGTGGGCTGGCGCCCCTCAGTACACTTACGTGTAGTTCAGATAATATCTACCCAAAAAATCCTTCCTCGAAACTTTTACTAAAGTAGCTCCTCCATTACAATCTATGTACCAGGCTTTATATTTCTTCATAGTAGTTGGAAGAACTGACATTCTATTATGTATTTATTTTACTCAGTCTCTTTCACTACACTGCATGTTCCATAAAGGCCATGAAGTTGCCTGTTTTGTTCACTGTTATGTTCCCATTGTGTACAACAGTGGCTGGAAGAGTGTAGATGCTCAAAAAATATTCAAAGGAGTGCATTACTCAATATGGAGTTGGAGATTGAATTCTGCCACAACACTGTATAGCAAATGCCCACTTCTTTTGCTATAAGCAGGACTCACCATTTATGAACTGGACTGAATATCTTTATTATTTGAAGGGAAATACTCTGGATAGAGACAAAAGAACAAGAAACCTACTACTAGGAAAAGTAAAAATTTGTCAGCAGACCTGCTTAAAATGAACTGATAACAGTAAGTTCTAACAAAACAAAGTTACAGAAGGAAAGATATGTAACATCAGGAATAAAGAAAAAGGAATGGAAAGGATGAATATATTATCAAATATAACAGGATGTTCTTTTGATTTTTTAAAATTATGTATGATGGTTGAAAACAAAAATAATAATTTGACCCAATACAGTTTTCAGTGTATGTAGGACATCATTTGCTGTTAGGGAAATGAAAGTTAAGACCATCATTATATACTACCACACACCTGATGGTATGGCAAGAATCAAATATGACAATGGCAAGTGCTGGGAAGGATATAGAACGACTGAGGTGTTCATACACTGCTGCTGGGAGTGTAGTAAATACGTACAGCCACTATGGAAAAGTTTGGCAGTTTCTTATGAAGTTCAGCACTAACTTAGCATATGATTTGGTACTTATCCCAGAAAAACAAAACTGGGCACCCAAATGTTCATAACATCTTTATTCATGACAATGAAACACTGGAAACAATCAAAACGTCTATCAAAAGTGAACAGATAAACAAACTATGGTACATCCATACAGGAAAATACTGTTCAATAACAACAACAAAAAAAGTAAACTATTTACACACCCAATAAATTGGATGTATCTTAAGGGCAATTTGCTGAGTGAGAAAAAAAACAGTATCTCAAAGGGTACATATATTCCATTTTAAGAGCATTCTTGAAATGACAAAATTAGAGTTATGGAGTACTGATCAGTGGTGGTCATGGGTCAGGGTCAAGGGGACAGTGCGACTATAAAGGGGTAGCAGGTAGATATTTCTTTGGATTGACACAATTCTGCATCCTGATTGTGATGAGATTTACAAAACTATACATGGGATAAAAATTTCTTAGAACTCTACACCAAAAAAGAAAACTAAAACAACCACATACAAATGAAAGCATGAATAAACTAGTGAAATCCAAATAAGGTCCATAGTTTATTAACAGCATTGTGTCAATGTCATTTTATTGGTCTTGATGATGTATGATGGTTCTGTAAGGTAATACCAATGAAGAGACTCAGTAAAGGTACTCAGAAACTTTGTATAATTAGTAAATTCTTGTGAGTCTAAAACTATTGCAAAGCAAATTTTAGAAAAATCACATTTAAGATGTTTTTTAAACTTATATACTTGGTTAAATACATAAAATATGTGGAATTACATTTATGAGTGTATTCCATTTACTTTTGAAATACAGAGTAGTTTGAAAGACATGAATTCAGAGCCTAAAAAATGCAAGAGCTAATCATGTAATGGTATGAGGTGGGCACTCTGCTTGTAATAACATTAAAATGTAATCAGTGTTGAAAATTGCCTACTTAAAAATTATGGAATCATTGAGAATTTGGTTCAAGGTATCCTGTCCTAGAATGGACATTGGGTATACAGTAAGTTTAGAGTTGGCTTAGAAAACTCAATTACACAACGTTTTCATGAAGTTTCTTTCCTTCATGAATTCTCTTATATTTTGCTGAAGTCACTCTATGTTAACTGTATTCCTAACAATTTTATTTTATTTATGTATTAATTCATGAGAAATTGTGAATTCTGTAATATTCTCTGCCATCTGAAAATTATTCTCCAGCATGACTGTAAGGTGACTATTAAGATTCATTTTTAAGCAAAGTTTTTCTTGTGATCATCATATTGCTACTACGTATGAGCTCACTGATGATCTACTATAAGCACTCATGAGATAGTCTTTATTACCATAGAAAGCCTTTCTAGTCTCTCCACTCTTAAGATTTATATTAGCATATAATTTTCAGAAATATAATTACCTAGAAATGTTTCCTGAAGACATTTTCTGCATTGAATGTATTATTTTTCCTACATGTTGATTTTGACAGAGTGTGAGGTACTTGATTGCTGAAGGTACTAGCACATTCTCTGCATTCATTAAATTTCATTCCTATGCAAATTCCATAATTTCCCATTGCTGAAAATCTAGCAGCAGGCTAATCTACACTGACTATATTTAAGTATGCTAGGAGCACACTACACTGAGCTATCATAGTTTGCCCCTTACATGAGTTCACTTGTATGTAATAAATTTGGACTCTGCAAAGGATTATGTACCTTGACTTACACATTTGCTGTGTGTATTGATCAGAGTTGACCAGTAAAAAAAAGGTTATCCCAATCGTTGAATCCATAGGATCTCTTTTATTTTTATAAATTCTTTGATGTACAGTGAATGCCAAATTCATGTTGAAGGTCTCCTCACACTAATTGCATACATAGTTTGTCTCCTGTGCAACTTCCCTGGTAGGTCATAAGATCAATACTGGGTGAATAGGGTTTTCCACAGTCAGTACATACAAAATAAGTCCTGTGTGAAGCTTCTGATTTTGTACAAGGCATATTTTCTTCCTGAAAGTGTGACAAATTCTTTGCATTGTTAGGATTTGTTTCCAGTATGAGTTCTATGATGCACCAAGAGATTTCTCTTTGAAGAGAAGCCTTTCCCACATTCACTGCACACAAAAGGTTTTTCTCCTGTGTGAGTTCGTTGATGGACGACTAAACGACTTTTCACAGCAAACCCTTTCCCACATTCATTGCACGCATAAGGTTTTTCTCCAGTATGGATTTGCCGATGTAAAATGAGCTCAGTTTCCATTGTGAAGCCTTTTCCACATTCACTGCATATATAGGATTTCTCTCCTGTATGAATTTGTTGATGTACGATGAGATAGCGTTTCATGGTGAAGCCTTTTCCACATTCAGTGCACGAAAAGGGTTTCTCTCCAGTATGAGTCCGCTGATGTACCACAAGATTGCTCTTAAAGGCAAAACCTTTTCCACATTTATTGCAAATATAGGGTTTCTCTCCAGTATGAGTTCGCTGGTGTAACATCAGCCCACTATTCACAATGAAGCCTTTCCCACATTCACTGCATCTGTACGGCTTCTCTCCAGTATGTGTTCGCTGATGTACGACCAGCCTACTCTTCAAGGGGAAGCCTTTCCCACACTCACTGCAGGTGTAGGGTTTCTCTCCAGTATGCATTCGCTGATGTATGATAAGCATGCTCTTCACAGTAAAGCCTTTCCCACATTCACCACATACATAGGATTTCTCTACTGTATGATTTCTCTGATGCACAATGAGGTTACTCTTCCTGGGAAAGCCTTTGCCACATTCACTGCACACATAGGGTTTCTCTCCAGTGTGAGTTCGCTGATGTTCAATCAGACGACTCTTCATGGTGAAGCCTTTCTCACACTCCTTGCACACATATGGTTTCTCTCCTGTATGATTTCGTTGATGTATGAGGACATAGTGCTTCGTGGTGAATGCTTTCCCACATTCACTGCAAGTGTAGGGTTTCTCTCCTGTATGAGTTCGCTGATGTATGATGAGCATGCTCTTTCCAGTGAAGCCTTTCCCACATTCGCTACAGACAAAGCATTTCTCTCCAGTATGATTTCGTTGATGTACAATGAGATTACGCTTCCCTGGGAAGCCTTTTCCACATTCACTGCATACGTAGGGTTTTTCTCCAGTGTGAATTCGCTGGTGTTCAATCAGACGGCTCTTCATGGTAAAGACTTTGCCACAGTCACTGCATATAAAGGATTTCTCTTTTTCATGAATTCTCTGATGTTCATTGAGCCTGGACTTTCTGGAGAATACTTTCGCACAAAGTCTGCATCCATAAGGTTTCTCTCCTGTGTGAACTCTCTCGTGATCAGTGAGCTGAGACTTTTTAACAAAGGATTTCCCACATTCACTGCACATGTGGGCTTTCTCTACTCTATGAGTTCTTTGATGTTTAATGACCTGGGACTTACTGCTGATGGATTTTGCACTGACAGGGAATCTAACTCTAAGATGAAAATCTTCATGCTTGTCATGCTGAAATGATTTTCCATCTCCATCCAGTTTAGTAGAGATCTTAGTTTCACAGCTTTTACTCTGTTTGACCAAACTTAAATTTGATTTTAGAGTTTTCACATAAAACTCAAATATACCATGATTTTGCCTGAAAGGAAAATGATTTTTGCTTTGAAGAATATTATTTTCAAATGTATTGTGTTTGTGGTTTTGTTCCATACCTTTCAGCATTCTTTGATTTTCCCAGAGACCTTGGAGATAACTATCAACTTTGCCAATGTCTAGAAAAGAAGAAAACAATAAATTCTTTTATGAACTTATTTGAAACAAAACTGTTTCCTTTTAAACTGTTTCATTTTCTTTTCCTTGGTGTTTTCTTAAATAATAGCACTTCAGTGACAACCCTGTGATAACACTAAAAAAAAAAACCGCTGTGTATAAATGGTCTTTATTTCTTGCACATTAATAAAAACACAATAATATAAACAAACCAAAAGGAAAAAGCAGTTAATATATCATTAAGGACACATAGTTGTCAATTTATGTGGATTTGTCTGCTTTTGGAACTTGCAAAACGTGTAGAGGTAGTAAAGTACAAGCAAGTCAGTGTTCACAGCAAACTACAGGGTTTGGAAGGACACTATTCTACAGAACTTGTAAAGACCCAGATCCCAGAGGTGGAAGAGAAAATTAATCCAACTGATGAGGATTGCATTTGTTCAACCCCAAACTACTTACTGAATGGCTCCCATGTACCAGCACGGTGCTGGTGTTTGGAATATATAAAATATGCCTGACTTTTACTGATCTTAAATTTAGGGGAAATGGAATAAAAAGGAAAACAACAACAACAAAGGAATGGAGCTGAGATTGCTAAAAATGGATTAAAGGAGCCATGGAGATGGTGGAAATCTGGATATATTGCACAAAGAAAAGAGAAAGTTGAATGACAGGTTCTGTGGGGAGAGTGGTTAATGAAAGTGAGGAATTTCGGATTACTCTGCTAACTATATGACTTGAGCCACCGAGTAGGTAGAAGCATTTCAAATCATATCCAGAAAGTGTAGAAAAATTATGCATTATGGAACATAAACCATGAGATGATTATTAAGTTTGTATTATAGACATCAAGATCAGTTGGAGGTATAAATGGATTATGTGGAAATAATCATTATATACCTATATTCAAGAAAAGGACATGGTGATATGTTGAAAAAACATGTAGTATGAAAAGTAATAAAGGTATAAACCAAGGTAGTCATCACAACAGTTAGAGTTTTGGGATTCATTCATTCATTCATTATTTATCTTTAGAGGGGAAGGGAAGGAGAGAGGGAGAGAAATATCAATGTATGGTTGCCTCCCATGTGCTCCCCACTGGGGACCCAGCCTGCAACCCAGGCATGTGCCCTGACTGGGAATCGAACTGCGATCCTTTGGTTCACAGGCCCACGCTCAATTCACAGAGCTACACCCACCAGGGCATGGTTTTGGGATTCTTTAAAGTCCACTTAAAGGCACCAAATTCTGAATATAGAGTCAGAGAAATGCATACTGAGGTGCACAGAATAAACATATTTGTTATCTAGCAACTAAGAATGGAAGGTCTTCAGAATCTGAACTAAAGTGAGCTGAGGCCAACTCTTACATCATAATTCTGTTCCTAAATTTGCCCTTCTGTAGACCATCAATCAAGCTAACTTTCCAGAAACATCAATCATATTGAGTGACAACTCATATAATCAACTTGCCAGTCTTTAGTCTAGCTATGTGATGTTTCTTTGTTTTGTTTTGTATTCTCACCTGAGGACATTTTTTTTCATTGCTCTTTTAGAGAGAGGAATGGAGAGAGAAACATCAATGCAAGAGAGAAGCATTGATTGGTTGCCTCTTGTACATGCCCAGACCAGGAATCATACACACCCTGACCAGGGATGAAACCCGCAACCTAAACATATTCCCTGACTGGGAATCAAACCTGCAAACTTTCAATTGTGAAATGATGCTCAAACCAAGCCACACCAGACAGCGCTAGTTATGGCATGTTATCATATATTCCACTCATAACAAAATAAGGCAAAAGTGATTAATAGGAAATCTTGCAGCTGGCTAGTGTATCACATAGTCATCTTCAGAAGCTAATATGCTGTATGGGATATGGAAACTGTTACCTTTTTCAATCACATTCTGCATTCAGCACCAAAGTCATATCCAGAATTTTACTATTTCAATGTCCCTGATGTACTTGTTCCCTCACTTGCCACCAGCAGCATCTACTTCAGTAATTCTACAATTTATATCTCCTTGGCAACAGTTAGTTTGTACTAAAGGAACAACTTCCTTCTTGAAGATCTAGGTTGTGTCAGCTTTATCTTCAGTTTTTCTCAGAACGTCTGCTTGTTCCTTATTATTGTTATACTACTAACACCCAGGTGAAAATTAAGACAATGTAGAGCTACAAAAATACAAAACCAACCAACTCTCCACCATGCTATCTCAACTACATCTGAAATGCAATCAATCATCCTGGCAATAACAGTGTGTATCTCCGTGAATACTCCATTGATACATGTTTCCACTCTACTCTTCCTCCTGCACAAACTTTCTAAGAGTGGCTTTAATTTGCCCAACTCTAGACCACTCTTTTGACTGTCAACCCCATGGCCTCACATGTTTCCTCATGTGTGTCATGCTTTCATTCCTAATGCATAGCATCATCTTCCTAATTCAAAATGTAGATATACCTTGTACATATCATGTCATAATTCCTATTCTGACTACCACTATAAGCTCTATTTCCTCTATTTTTCTAAATTAGTCCCTTTATTATTCATATTTATAGTTACCTTCAGAAAAGACTTGACCCCACCCAAAGAGAGGTCTGGCCCGTACCCTTGGCTATTGGGAGGTGATCTCTAGACCTCTGGAATGTTTCACCTAATAGAAGTGTCTTTGTTTGCCTGGCGGCTTTGGCCACCAAACAGTCTGACAGTGTGATTTTTAATAGGGGCTTTGGGCTAAACCAGATCAGTTATGACCTTTGGAGAAACTAGAGACTATAAGCCCAACTTATACAGAGATTAAAGGTCAACCATGGAGATAATATGTATCTGAGCCCTAAAACAAACTCTGGACAACAGATCAGGTGAGTTTCCTTAGTTGGCAAAGTGCTGTGTGTACTGTCGTACATCATGGCCAAGAAAAGGTAATCCTGTCCATCAGTCGAGAAACCCCACATTTTAGACACTTCCTGGATTCCATGTGACCCAAGGAACATTCCTAGGTATATATCTAGAAAAAATGAAAGCATAAAAGCCAAAAAATGGAAACAACCCAAAAGTCCATCAATAGATGAATGGGTAGAAAAATGTGGTAGATGCATACAGTAGATTCTTATTTGGCCATACAAAGGAATAAAGAACTAAAACTTTTTAAAACACACAAAAAAAACCTTTAAAAAACAGCCAAACGAAAGAAGCCAGACTCAAAAGACCACATATTTTATAATTCTATTTATATCAAATACCAAGAACAAACAAATCTATAGAGGTGGAAAATAGATTAATGGTTGCCTAGCCTGGGACTTAAGAGAAAGCATTTTTTTATTTTTCTTACTGATTTTAGAGAAAGGAAGCAGGGGAGAGAGAGAAAGAGAAACATCAATGTGAGAGAGAAACATTGATCACTTGCCCCCTGTATGCTTCTCAGCTACTAGAGTTCGAACCTGTAGCCTAGGTATGTGCCCGAGTTGGGAATCAAAACCCAAACCTCTTGGTATATGGGATGACATTTCAATCAGCTGAGCCACCCAGCCAGGGCAAAAGTGGTCTTTATAAAGTGATAAAGTGATGAAAATGTTCCAAAATTCACTTTGATATGGTTATATAACGGTTAATAAACTATAAAACACTGAATTGTATGTTTAAGTTGACAAACTGTAAGGTACATATAAATAAATTATATCAATATAGCTGTTTAAAAAAAACAACCAAGAATATATTTGGAAAAACGAAGGGAAATTAATAGAATGCTGACACTTAATATGAACTAAAGGAAAATATATCAAAAGTACAAAGTAGGTAAACTGAGGCAGGCATAAGCTCTGATTTGGGCTAGAACTGATATAGGATGTAAAACTGTCTTTTCAAGTTAAACAGTCAACAGACACACCACAAGGACCTTTAAGATGAGGGTACCATCGGTGGAGAACATTCTCGTAATGCCAGCATGGACAGGAAAGAAGATATATCTCATACTAAAAGAGACACTAATACTGAAATAGGATGGTGGAAAGGGTTTTTTTTTTTTGTGAAAGAAAGATGATTCCTATGAAAAACTTGGAAATCTCAAGCCAGTAAAATATTGAAAACTAACAATATATGTTAGACAATATTAAAGGAGATATAAATTTGGAGTCTCCTTCAGAGAAAAGAAAGAGCTTTATTCATGAAACTGGAGGAAAATGTTAAGAATTAAGAATACCGTGGAAAGGGCTTCCAGTCAAGATGGCAGTGTAGGTAAAACATGATACTCAAAATCTCCTACGACCACATCAAAATTACAGCTAAACTATAGGATAACCATCATTCAGAAATGCCTGAACTCTAGCTGAACATAAGTCCTATAACAAAGGATATAAAGAACAAGCTACATCAAGAACGGTAGGAGACATGGAAACTCACCATGGGTTGGTTCCATACCCAGGTACGGTGATTAAAAACTGGAAGGAATATCTTAGCTGCAGAGGTCTCCCCTGAGGAGCCAGGGGTCCCAGGCCTCCCTGGGTCCCCAGCCCAGGGGTCCAGTCCTGAGAAAAGAAGTCCCCATAATGTCTAGGTGTGAAAACCAGGGGAGAATGTCCCTAAGTGAAACAAAGGGCTCCTGGAATCCCAGGCAGCTCCTCTTAAAGGAATGACATGGACCTACCCGGACTCACTCCCTCTGTGTTCCAGCACTTGGGCAGCAGCTCAAAAGGCGCCAGGGACATACAGGATTGAACTAAATTGTCATCAGGGCAAGAGCTGAAGGGGTAGCTTTCTCCCCAAAGAAGTGCTTGCAGAGGTCATTGTTCCTTTGCTGAGCCCTCCCCCCACAGAGCTGGCAGACAGGCACCACCTCTGAGTCTCCATCAACCTGGCTAACAGTGATCACCCTGTGATTCCATCAGACCCTATCCCACCCAGCTTGTGGGCCCACTCAAGCCCTTTCCCGCAGCTTTCTATACAAATGGCCGGTCTTGGCTCATACTGCCAACTTTCCTAAAATCTCTCCAATAAGCAGCATCTAGACTCTGTGTACTATGTACCTCTTGCTAAGTGGCCCAAGGCCAGATATGAGTGGCAGCTAGCCTTAGTTCACAGCTTGGCCTCTCCCAGATGCCTCCAAACCCAGCACAAGAAGCAGCCATCAGCAGATCACTTTATAGCTCATGCCGGGTGGCCCTGGGTAGGGCACAGGTGGTGGCTGATGTTGGCCTGTACCTCCCAGGAGACCCCAGAGTCAGCATACCTGGTGGATAATTTCAGATCACGCCAAAGCACCACCCAACCACCTCCATGAGCAACACCCTCACGGAGTAAACTCAGCAAATACGGGAATCCCACTGAAGTGAGTTCTCCTCTGTGGGGCAGGACCCCGCACAGCAGATCCTTCACGGTGACTGTGGCCGATCCTTGCAGCTGATTGACCTGGGGGTAAATCCCTCCTGTTGATGTGCTGTAGGGAACCATTTTGCATGGGGTAAAAATGTAGCTCAGCACTCACGTGGAAAACCAGTGGGGAGTGAGTCAGCACACAGGACCATGCCTGCAGAAAGGTTCTCCTGTGGAGTCAGGCCTGCATTGTAATTTCAACTGATATGAGGCTTGCTAAAACTCTCTTGCCCTGAATTGAGGCAGCAAGTGCTTACTGTAACTTCCTTAAAGTCTGTGCTAAACCTCCCAAGTACGGAGTGTAACCAGTTCAATCACTTTCCCCCCTGATCTACAACATCCTTCTCTTTGAAGTAATCAGCAACATTCTTTCCTTTGTTATCTATAAAAAGTAATCCCCTGCAGCAAACCCGTACATAGTAAATGAGGACCATCCTCCATGTAATGTACCCAGAAAAGCAATAAAAGTTTGTACAGGCAGGGGCCAGGGCCCTCTCATCCTCTCTCTCTCTCTGACAGTGGCCATACTGTGCCTTTTTCTCCACAGGACTTCTGTTGTCTATGTGTATTTGTTCATTAGCAACAACAACACACGGATCCTGCAGGCCAGGATTCGCATCGATGTGTCAACAATGATCAAGGCTCAGCTACAACAGCAGGCTGCACACAGCCCACGCAGGGAGTGCACTTGAAGTGCCCAGCTCATGTAACTGGGGAAGCTGCACCACTGGGCCCTATAGCACACGTACTACATAGGGCCACTCTACCGAGACTGGGAGATATAGCAGCTCTACCTAATACATAGAAACAAACATAGGGAGGCAGCCAAAATAAAAAGATAAAGAAACAGGTCCTAAAGGAAAGAACACCACTCCAGAAAAAGGACTAAACCAAATGGAGACAAGCAATCTACCAGATGCAGAGTTCCAAACACTAGTTAGAAAGATGTCAGATAAAATAAGCAAGGTTCAGTTCTCAGAAAAGACAAAAAAAGGGTTTATGTCCCTTTAAAGGCCTAAAGAGAAGTTCTCCTGTGGGGAGGGATATGGAGGCACCTTTTATGTATCCTCAAATACATGACTCCCCAGCTTGCTCTGACTAGAATATGACTTCTGCACTGACTCATAAGGGGAAGCAGGTTTTGCCATCCCAAAAGATACCTGAGGAGATATTGATTACTTGAAGCGATTTTCAAAATACAGAACTCTTGAAAACTCAGGAAAAACCTCTGATGTTACCCTTTACTGCCTTTAAGAATTTAGATGGAGGCCCTGCTCCAGGAAGGGCTATATCATCACAGATAAATGCGGTTTACTGTGAGCTGGGCGTGATAGGGAGGGACCTAGCAAGGCCCTGTTGATCCACGTCCTCTCTGTGGCCCAGCAAATGTTTATTTACCAAATGCTGGCTTTTCCATCTCCATGTGAATTGACTTCCTCTGCGTGGAAATCCCAAATCACAACCCTCTCTGCCTCCTTATCCTTACCTCAACGGCCTGATTTGTCTTTGGGCCCCATATTCTTATGGAGCCCCTGTATGTACATAAATAAGAAATCTGGTTATTTCCTCCTGTTAACCTGTTTCGTATCACTTTGATTGTTAGCCCAGCCAGAAGAACTTAGAAGGATAAAAAGAAAATTATCTTCCTCCCCTACACCTGACTTGTTGGTGCTCACCCACTCACCTGGACAAACTAGACGGTGGAGTTCATCCTCTGTTGTCCATGGTCCTTCCCCTAGTTCCAACTTGGAGAGGACATCTGATTTGAGGACTTGATACCCTGTTCATAGGAAATGAGAGAAGACTTGGTTGGGGTCTGTCAAGATAGGAGAATATTGCGTTTAAGTGACTATAGACAGTTTGCACATGTCAGAGACTTTTCTCTCAGGAGGGGGCACATGTGACATCAGTTCCAGGCACAGAGCTCCTGAAGCCCTAGTAATTTCCTAAGTGAACAGCATGATAGGAGCATCTTTTTTCACAGTCTAAGTTCCAGTTCCTGACACAGAACTTCTAACTTTCCAGGAATCTCAGAAAAGAGAGTGAGGAGTGTCTTCTGTGTGCTAAGGAGATGACTGTGGCTGAGGGCCCCTAGATACCTTCAGGGTGGAGGCTGATCCAGAAAGGCAAAGGTATCAATAGAGGGCTAGAACCTTCAGCTCCAACCCTTCCCTTCATTGTGGAGAAGGAGGGGGCTGAAGGTGGAATCAATAACACATGGTCAAGGATTTAAGCAATGAAGCTTATATAATGGACCATCCGTAAATCTCTCTCATCAACTGGGTGGGGAGAGCTTTCCATTTGGTGACCCTGTGGAAGTGCTGGGAAGGTGGTGTGCCCGGAGAGGGTCTGAAGATCTGTACCTCTTACTCCACACTTTGCCCTAAGTATCTCTTCCATTTGGCTGTTTCAGAGATTTTTTACTTTATAATAACTGATAATGGTAGTAAGTGCCTTCCCGATAATGGTAGCAGGTTCTATAAGCCATTCTAGCAAATTATTAAACCCAAGTAGGGGCTGGGGGTTGTGGGAACAACCAACTTACAGCCAAGTTGGGCAGATTTAGAGCCAACTTCCACAGAAGTGTGGGCAGCCTGGATACCCAATACTTACAACTAGCATCTGAAGTAAGGGTGGTCCTGTGGTACTGAACCCTTAAACTTGTGGGGTTTGGTATTAACTCTGTGTGGCGTCAAAACTGAATTGAATTGAGCTGCAGGATACCCAGCTAGTACTTGGAAAGTTGGAGAATTGGTTGTTGGTGTAGAAAGACCCCAAACATTTGGTGTCAGTTATGTTGGTACAGCTGATAGTATATTAAATCCTTTTACCAGGAGGCACCAAATATCTGCAGATTTCAGTGCACCTGTTCGGAGCACTGCAGTGACTCCCAAGTATAAGCACCTGGGAAAGGAGAGACCACGGACTGGGTGACCTATGAGTGACACCGGGAGCTGTCCTCACCCATTGACACCAGGTTGCTATAGTTCTCCAACATCACGTCCCTGTACAGGTCCTTCTGGTCGGGGTCTAGGAGCTGCCATTCCTCCCAAGTGAAGTTCACGGCCACATCTTCCAGCGTCAGTGATTCCTGCAATAACATGATCCTGTTTAATGGAGTGTTTTATTTTACTGGTTCATAAATAATATAAAGGAAGTTGTTCAGCTCATATTAACAATGATCCTTCCTTCCTTCCTTTCTTTCAGCAAGAGGGGAAAGGAGGGAAAAAGAAAGGGAGAGAAACATTGCTTGGATGCTTCTTACAGGCAGGGATGTGTGCAAACTTGCAACCTGGGCATGTACCCTGACTGGGAATCGAACCAACAACCTTTTGCTTTGCAGAACAACACCCAACCCACTGGGCCACACCCATCAGGGCTTAACTATGATTCTGACACCAATTCCAAAGTGGTTTTTTTACCCACCACCAACCAATACTCCAACACTAGCTGGGTTTCCGACAATTCATCTCAGTTCTGACACTCTCTACCTGGAGACAGCATAGGATTCCACAGGTTAAAGGCTCAATCCTGTAAGACTGGTCCCCTAACCCCCACTTCAGTGCAAGTACAGACTGTCATCTGTGCTTCTGACTCCCCAGCTATAACTGAAGGTTCCAATGCCCTCCTTGGGTTTGATTAATTTTCTAGAGCAACTCAGGAAAAATCGTTTACTTACTGTTTACCAGTTCATTATAAAAGGATATGCTAAAGGATACAGATGCACATCCAGATGGAAGAAATGCACAGGGCAAGGTGTTTACCAACCCAGACACTGTCCAAACCCTATACCTTCAGGTTTTGTATGGAGGCTCCATCACGTAGCCACAACTGATCATGAACTCTATTTCTAGTCCTTATCCCCCTTCTGGATCATGGAGTGTAGAGCTGAAAATTCCAAGTTTCTGATCATGGTTTGATTTTTCTGCTGACGAGCTCCAATCTGGGAACCCCTCAATAGTTACCTCATTAGAACAACAGACACTACTATCACCCAGGAAATTTGAAGGCATTTAGAAACCCTGTTAGGAACTGAGGTCAGAGACCAAATATGAGAACAAAAGATGCTCCTAGCATCTTATCACTTAGCAAATTTCAAGGATTTTTAGGAGCCCTGTTTCAGAAACTAGGGGCAGAGACCAATATAATATACACATTTATTGTTATTTCACAAAAGGTAACATATTAGACACATTAAAGACATAATCAGGAAACTGGAATATACATTTTAAAAAATAACCCAAGCCCTGGTCAGGCAGTTCAGCCGGTTAGAGAGTTGTCCCATATACCAACATTGTGGGTTTGATCTTCAGCTGAGGCACATATATAAATCAATCAATGAATTTATAAATAAGCAGAACAAATCTCTCAAGCCAATAAATTAGTGAAAGGAAATAGAAACCAAAATAAAAAATACTCCCCTACATGAAGCAGCCCCCACATAGAGACTGAAAATACAAAGGGGAATTTAATTAATACGGAGGATAAAGAAAGGTCTAATAAAGGCTTGTATGTGGTTTTTGGAAGAGATTATACAGAAACAGAGAAGCATGTAAAGATCTCAAGAATGGGAAATTTTCAGAACTGATTAAACTTCCTATAACTCAGATTTAGTAAGTCAGCAAAGCCAGGCAGGAAGTCTGCATGTAGACACATCTGGCTGAAACTACGTACAGCAGACCAGTTGCAAAAATCAGATTATGAAAACAACCAGAAAGAAAAGATGCATCACTGTCAAAAGAAAAACAAATTTACTAAAACAAAGACAATAGAAGCCAGAAAAAAAAAGATAAACATATTTGGTCTTTGTCCCTGGCTCCTGGCGCAGTTCTAAAACTCTTAGACTCTCTGGAGTGATGACTGTCCTCTGCATGCTAACGAGTTGACCAGCAGCTGGGGGACCCTAGATGGTTTTAGGATGAGGGCTGGTCTCCAGAAAGATCCCCAACCTTGAGGGACTGGAGGTTGAGTTCAATCACCAATGGCCAGTGGTTTAATCAATCATGCTTATATAATTAAACCCCCATTAAATCCCCTAAACAACAGGTTTGAAGAGCTTTCAGGTTAGTGAACACACCGAGGTGTTGGCTGGGTGATGCTCCCGAGAGGACCTCTGCACACTTCCCCCATGCCTTGCCCTCTGCATCTCTTCCACATGGCGAATCCTGAGTTACAGCCTCTGTAATAAACTAGATGGACATAAAGCGCTTTCCCAAGTTCTGTGAATCATTCCAGTAAATCGCCAAACTTGAGAAGGGAGTTGTGGGAAGCCCCAAATTTAAAGCTGGTCATTAGAAGTAGACGTGACAACCAGGGACATTCGACTGGCATCTAAAGTGAGGGCAGTTTTGTGGGACTGGGCTCCTAACCTGTGGGATCTGATGCTACCTCCAGGTAGTTCATGTTGGAATTGAGTTGAATTGTGGGACACCCAGCTGGTGTCCCGAGAGTTGCACAGTGGGTACGTGTGGGAAAAATACGCACATATTTGGTGTCAGAACTGTTGTGAATAACAACAGCTCAGAAATGTGGAATATTTTCAACGTCCTGATCCTGTGGTCCTGTAGCCTAGGTCCAATGTCACCAGAAAAGGAATTGAGATCTGCTTGTCAACTGAATGGCCAGACAGCGAAAACCTATGGGATAATCTATCCCCATGTTACTGCAGAAATTACTACATAGAAAAGAGAACAGAATTGGTAGGGGCTGCAAATTCTTAACCCTGCTGATCTAATCACATTTAATCTGAGTTATTTCATGTAAGATGCAGATTCATTTGGAAAAACTTAAATTCGAATACCTTTTTCCTGTTTAAAGTACTAACCATAAAACAAAAGAATCTATGAAAGCAACAGAGAGAGAGGAATATGAATGAAGTATGTTCATGTCAGAAGCCAAAAAAAATCACAGAAAATAAGCAACAATTTTTGTGACAAGAAAAATTAAAACATCTGAGTTGAAAAAATAGCATGGGCAAAGCTATAAGAAAACTGACAAGCTAGAAAAATATTTTTAATAAACAAAAGGATCAATATATAGTGGATATAAACAACTCTTAATCATCAGTAAAAGAATTGTTTCTTTAAATGTAAAAATAAGGACAGGTACTTCACAAAAGAAAAAAACACAACTGACAGAAAAATACACAAGGATTTCAACCTCACCCATGCTGAGAAAAATATAAAATAAGGCTAAAGAATATCCGGCCATGCCTTGGCTGGTATGGCTGGAATGAGCAGTGGCCTATGAATTGAAAGGTCACCTGTTCCATTCCCAGTCAGGGCACATGCCTGGACTGCAAGCCAGGTCCCAGCTTGGGGCATGTAAGAGGCAACCAATCTATGTTTCTCTTGCATATCGATGTTTCTCTCCCTCTCTTTCTCCCTCCCTTCACCTCTCTCTAAGAATAAATACAATCTTTAAAAAAAAAAGAATATTAGCCATTCAGATGACTGAAAGTTATGCAATTTTATAATGTCCTCTTATTAAGTACTAGCAAAGATTGAAGGCATGGATGATCCCACATATCACGTACTATGTAGCCAGCACTCATTTAGATGCTTTACATAGTGTAACTCTTTTTTTTAGTATGACTGTGGACAACTGGAATTTTATATAGTTAATATACACCAATCAACTGCAGTCATTATTCCTTTATATGCTTAAATTATACCATCATAGGCAAATGGGTTATATTATTTGAGGTATGAGTCCATTGATACACACATGTTGTAACACATGTGTTGATGTAGTCAGATATGTACATCAATCCACATACATTTGTAAATAAGCACATATATATATATAAGTACACACACGTTTAGTGACAGTAAGACACACTAGCAAACAACTGTTAAAGCAGTTTGAGGGGACAAGGAAGGATGTTATGAAAGGGGAATTCACTTTTTATGCCCATGTGCACTTACTCCATCATTAATATTCTTCTTTAAAATGTAAATGAAAATAAAAGGAGTACAGAACTGGATTTGAAAATGGGGAAGGATTCTGCATTTTATAAGATGATGTGAAGTTATATAGCAAACACCCTACAACCCAATAATCCAAGCTCTTATCAGACAAAATTTCTTACAGCTATCCAAGGCCAAACCTGAACTTTCATGCCAGTTCAGTGACCTGCTGATGGAAGACCACTTGAAAGCCATACAATCCTCCCATTTTCCTAGGGCATTTAGGTTTTATTTCAGAATAAATCCGAAGAGACTCAATGCTGAGTGAGACCTTTAAGTGACTTGCATTGGCCCCCTAATAAAACTGTCCTCACTGAGTTTGCATGGTTTCTTCCCACATGGGTCTGTGAGGAACCCCAAAATAAAAAGCAGTACAAAATCTGTTTCTGCCTTTACTAGTTCAAAACACTTTCCACCCCATCGCTTCTAAGAAGAACATAACATTTTTCCTGAGATTTGCATGTCATGAAACATTGACACCCCGAGGAACCATCTTCTGTCTCCTCACTGCATACGATACATATCCTATAATACCACAATTCTCTTGTTGTGTTGGCTGTCACAGACACTAGATACAAGTTGACAGCTAATGTAACTAGAGAATCCTTCAGTTACACAATACATTCTAATGTTAGTTATTCACTCAGAATCCTATGAATACTATATTCTTTGCCATGATGTTAGAGTTAGATTCAATGCTTATTTCAGTCTAGATAGTGAGCTAATTTTTACAGGTCTCTGCAAATCTATTAGGAAATAGAAAAGAGAATAAACCTTAAGTCACCTGAGCCTGGATCATTTTCTTCTGTTTTAGGAAATGGCCCAGAACTGATATACTCTTATCTTTGTCTTCTTTGATACGCCCTAAATTTCTACTTAGAAATCTCACTATCCATTCAACTGTGTTCCCAGAAGGGGCAATATGTAGGTCCTGGAACCTCTTCTCTCTTCATTCTTATCTCTTGCCAAAACCTGTGGAATGAAGAGCAAAATTACTTTCAGGGTTACATTCCCCTTGCTGTGTGCTCACCTTAACACATAGTTGCAAGTATTCCCATCTCTCTATTTGGTTTCCTAGAGATCCCACCTCAGGTAATAAAACACAAGACCCTCTAGATATAAAAGTACCTTGAATGGAAAGGGGAAAGTGCAACGTAATTTCCAGAACAATTATAGAAATGAAGCCATATGAACAGTGAGGAACTGTAAACCTTTCCTTTAAATTTATGTTGCCCTCATATTTACTAAAAGTCTTTATATACCCTGTTTATATACACACTTCAATATGAGGAACAACGAACATGGAAAAAAAGAAGGTAAGTAATATGAGCTATAAATAAAATTTTTTAAAGTTAAAAAATATTAAGTTCTGGGAAAATAGCAGGTCTTGTATACGCATATATAGATCCTAAAAGGAAATATACAGTAAACTTGCAGGAAGAAGATGAAAACAATCTTTAATAAAATGCTTATCATCATATTTTGCCATGTGGAATGCATTCTTGTGTATAAAGCACACCCACGGCTTTTTGTGGTGCCCATGTATAATGCGCACTTATTTTTCCATCAAAATTTTGGGCAAAAAAATGCCCATTACACATGGCAAAACACAGTAATTTTAAATATGCTGACTGATTCACCTCCCCTGAAAACTTTGACCTGACCCTGTGTGTTGAAAAATTTCTGTGGGTTGAAAGGGACAGGATGATGTGGGAGAACCAAAGGGACTAGAAATTTTGTGGTGGAGGAGGGCCTTGGTTCAGCAGCTGGAAATGAAGATAGAAGCAACAGGGCCCCTGGGCCTCCAAGCTTCTGCTGTCACACATCTTGGCACTAAAGACTGTGGCCACCGCCCCCACCCCCCGCCACCGGATTAATCCCCAAAACCAGACCAGATACATGCACACACTGAACTCACTTAATGGTTCCTCGATCACTGGATCCAAGTCATTCCAGGTCCAGACCCAGATGCCGCGGTCACAGACAAACGTAAAGGCCCACCCACAGGCCCATCGCAAAGACCCTGAATTCTGACCTCCAGACTCTCTGTAGTTGATCTGTTCAGAGCTTTTAACAGTGACTACCAGAGCCCCCTGTAATTGAGCCCAAAGACTTCCTGATCACTGACACCCAGTAGACTCCTCCGTGTTCTCCGCCACCGCGCTACCTTCACCAACTCATCTGGGCAGCCACCTAACTAACGGAGGACAGACATACTCACACACGAACCTCACTCTCCTGAACCTGCAGCCAGCGACCTCTCCAGGGCCTAACTTACTTGCCTAACTTTTTTCCCTTCTGGTTTCCTCTCCGGAGAACATCAGACTAAGGCTCTCGGCGTTGTTGCCGCGTTTCTATGGAGAATGGAATACGGGTTTCTGCTCTCCTTTATGAGGTAATATACCTGCGTCGCCGTCGCCGTCGCCGTCGCCATCACCCGGCACACTGGGGGCCGCCATCTTTGCGCGCGGGCCGTACAGGGGCTTTTGCATAGGCGGTTTTACAGCACGAAGGTGGTACCACAACCGAAACGCTCCGGTTTTTGGCCCATCCTGATAGGAATTGGAATGTGGAAAAGTTCTGAGAGGCTTGAGGTCGCAGAAAGCAAACGTGACGTGAGGACAAGTTTATTTTTCTTTGTAGGGGAAGGTGAACGAGGACTTATTTTTCATCAAGGCCGGAGCCCACTGGGGCCAAAAGGGCGCATATTACATTCTGAGCGGCCGTTATAGCCGTGATGCCTCAGATCTGTACAACATTAAGATTTCTGGACACCTCAGTCACTAGTCTAATTGAGAAGAGATTAAGAGGCTGAATAAAAACTTAAGCACGCTTGACAAAAAAAAAAAAAAAACAAAAAAAGCGGGCGGGAGACACGAAAATACAGTGTGTGCATAGTGGGCGCAGCCATTTTGGGGGAAGTCCTGAGTCTGTACTTAAGAAATGGTCTCTGGGGAGCTCAGCGCGGACCCGGCAGGTGGCAGTGCATTTGGAACAACAGCAAGGTTTGGAAACGTGAAGTGGATTGGGGGATGCAGTGATCAGTGAGCGGAAACGATGGACGTTATGAACTTCTTTATACACTCATTCTAACAAGCCCAAGTATAAAACATGCTAGGCAGATACTGAATTGCCTTGTCACTATAGATTGGCCTGCATTTTATGAATACACTTACTGTATGCACTCTCTACCTGGCTTTTTTCACACCACATAATAGTTTTGAAGCATCAGTAAGTTCTTTCCTTTTGTTGCTCAGTATTCCACTGTACGGGTATTTCAAAATGTGTTTAATCATTCATCAGTTGGTGGACCTTTGGGACGTTTCCAGTTTTCTTTGGATATTGCAAATGACATTTCTATGAACATTCAAAAATTAAAACGATCTCAAAGAATTGGACTTCCCATGGTCGTGTGCATCTGTAGCAGCTCACTAAGAGGTCTTTGCCAGCCATTTGCAGGCCTACTGCCCATTTCCGACCCTGCTTCTCCCATTCGTAGTGGCCCAAGCCCTGAACTAGAACCAGAGATCTTGAGAACGTGGGCTGTGGCACAGGCATCAGGTTCATCTATTTGCTCACATTATGTTCAACCCAATAAGCCTTTATAATTCTCAGAATGTACCCGACAAAATCATGTTGCCTCAGGTCAAACCTGCAAATCAGTTTCATCTTCTGACTCCTCCATCAGTAGTACTATGCTAGTCTAGTCTCTGAAGTGAGATGCTAGAAATGTTTCTGCTTACCTTTGGCCTGTAGCACCTTACCTTAACCAGGTGATCGTTGTAAAATACAAATCAATCATGAAATTTTGCTGTTGTCAATTATATAATGATTGCATTACAGAACCAAGTAAGTATTGAACTCTGGCCAGAGGTTCAGTTGGAGCATCACTCCGTACAGCGGGTTGGGGGTTCATTCCCTGGTTGGAGTGGTTATGGGAGGCAATGAATTGATGCTTCTTTCTTACACTGGTATCTCTCTCCTTCCCCACCTCTCTCTAAAAGCAATAAAAACATATCCTCATTGAGGATTTAAAAAAATTGTTTTAAATAAGTATTGAGATGGCTACATTTAGCTGATTAAAAAAATATATTGACCCTGGCTGGTGTGGCTCAGTGGATTGAGTGCCAGCCTGTGAACCAAAGGGTTGCCAGTCTAATTTTGGCAGTTTGATTCCCAGTCTAAGGCACATGCCTGGGTTGTGGACCAGCTTCCAAACTTGAATGGCATTTGTTGACAAATAACCAATGATAAATGTGGGCTAAATTGTGTTCCCCAAAATCCATGTGTTCAAGTCATAACCTCCAGAACCTCAAGACCTCTCCTGTATTTGGAGATCAGGTCTTTAAAGAGGTAACAAAGCCAAAATGAAATTAGGATGAGAACTGATCCAATCTGACTGGTGTCCTCATGAGGTGGTGTTAGGACACAGGCACACATAGAGGGACACCCATGGGAAAACACAGAAAGCAGAGGCCATCTACAAGTCAAGGAGAGAGGCCTGAGAAGAAACCAGCCCCAACTGATACCTTGACCCTGGACTTTCAGCCTTCAGAACTGTGAGAAATAAGTTTCTGTTGTTTAAGCCCCCCAGTCTGTGGAGCTTTGTTATAACAGCCCTAGCCAACTACTACAGCCACCCCCAACTCCATTTCTCCATCCGTTAGCCATACAAGGCAGAGTGACCCACTAAGACCTTAAACCCTGACCTCAGTACTCTCAGCTGCTGGCCACATACTACTGTATATAATACAGTAGATGCATACATGTACTAAGGAGAAAGGAATGAAGATTACCAGTATATAGTAAATCCTCACTGAATGTCATCAATAGGTTGTGACTTTAAGCCAAATAATATATACTGAAACCAATTTTGCCATAGGCTAGTTGAAATTAATAAACAAGAGTTAGGTTCCTATGGCATCTCAACATTATAAAAGGATAGTGAACAAAACTTTATTCGAGGATCTGCTGTACATGTTTCCCTATACTACACGAAGATGGAAATAAGAGCATTTGGGTACTAAATAACTAAATATGCAGTTAGTGTTCGGAGAACAGCACACTTAATTATAATTTTTATGAAAATGGAGTGAAGCAAATGATGTAAGTTGATATGTCCTTCTTAAAAGAAGTCAACCTGAAATTGTCTATCCCATGAATGTTTTTTTTAAATCCTCACCTGCGGATATGTTTATAGATTTTAGAGAGGAAAGGAGGGGAGGAGGGATGGGAGGAGAAAAGCATTGATGTGAGAAACATCAATCTGTTGCCTCCCATACATGCCCTGGTTGGGGACTGAACCCACAACCATCCAGTGTATGGGACTGACACTCCAACCAACTGAGCCACACAGGCAGGCCCATGAACATTTTTTATTTACCTGGAATGCCAGCCTCTGAAAGGTGAGTTCAGCACCTGATTCTCAGGGCTAAGGGCAGTCCTGGGAAGCTCATTCCAGGACCCTGACACTTTCAGTGAGAAAGACGCTATGACTGCCATGATAGGAAGTGCAGATTTTCAAGACAAGACGTGAAGAGGATCCAAAGTCTGAGCTGAAGAATCTGCTTCTGGTTGTTTACTGAAGAGTACCTGTTATGAATACATACTATTAGAGGCCTTTTTTTTTTTTTTTTGCATATTTTGTTCAAGAGTGTATCCCGTGTCTACAACAATGCCTGGCATGGTGCAGAAGCTCAAAAATTTTTGTTGCAGTGAATCACTCAAAAGTCTGGAGTTTGGAATTCAATCATGAGACAGCCACTTCATGGCAAGTTTTTTTCCCCCTAATATGTAAGACTTTTTTTTTTAAGGAGGGTATCTTTCTTGGTTCAAGGGAAAGAACCCTGGGTACAGAAGAGAGGACAAAGGCCCCATCCCCAAGAGAGTGAGTAGTGATATGACTTGTCTCAATTTATCATGTCAGAGTGTGGAATCTTTTAAATGATGGCAGCTCTAAAAGGTGATAGGCCTGGGGACAAATATGAGGGTTCATCTCCAAGACATCCAAAGGGTCTCATCTGTCCTCCATTTTTAGAGTGATTTTGTTCCATTAATTGGTCTTTTTCTCCAGAGCCTATTCCTCCTCTGTTCTCACCCTTCTATATTCTGACAGGAGCCTTTTGTTAGGATTTTTAAAAGGTTTCTTAACATACTGATCCTTATAAAAAAATTTAAAAAACAAAAATGTTTTTAAAGGAAAAAGGGAGAAAAAAAAGGATATTGATCCTTACAATTTCTTTCCAGTACCTCTATCCCTTCCGTGATGAAAGTAATGTTGATTGATTAGTCCATTAGCTCACTCATTTGGCTTCATTCATCTTTCAATTCTATACATAATTCACTTCTCTTTTTGCTATGTGCTGAGAAATATACGATTACCTATAAACTATTCAAGGAATTTATAACCTGGAGAGAAGACATGAATAATTTAAAGTATCCACACCCTGTTTTATGTATGTAAAATTAAGTGAATCCTTTCCCTCCATCCAAATAACATGCCCCTTGAACTGGAAATTATCAGGATATTTTGTTCTTTATACTGTATGTCCCTTTCAACTAACATATTTATACATCCTTTGATTACATTTGCTGGAAGATAAAATTGCTATATGCATAAAACTTACCTTTAAAAAAATTGCTAGCTCAGCCCTGGCTGGTGTAGCTCAGTGGATTGAGCTACATGAGCCAACTTGCGAATATGAGAGGCTAGTATCTCTCACACACATCCCTGTTTCTCTCCCTTTCTCCTTCCCTTCCAAAAAAATTTTTAAAAAGTACTCTTAAAAAAATTGCTAGCTCAAAGGTAGCAAGTACATTTTGTTTAGTTCATCACTGTCATCACCTACAGGTCCTGAAACAGTACCAAGTTAAAGGAAATAGCTGTTAAAGTTTTTTCTGAGTGGTGTGTGTGCAGGGTGGGAACTATCATCTTGGTGAAAGCATGGCTGATAGGTTATTCATGAGTTTTGAATTCTGTTCCCCAAGTGATATTTATAAACATACCCGAACATGTTGTTACACTACAGAATTAAATGTACTGTTTCCTTTTGAGGGACTTCAGTCACCTAAAATACAATTTGAACACATTTAGAACCAAAGAAATGCAAGAGCTAGTCACATAATATTCCTACATGGGAAAAAGATTCATGACCCCCAAGAGGGGGGGAGTGTGCACTGTGTTGTAACTTTAATCAATGGTGTCCAACACTGACAACCTCCTTTAAATGAAGCAGTCTTGACATGTCAACTAGGAGTCTGATTCAAAGTATACTGTCCTAAAATGCACACTATGCCTATTACCTAATGTAGACTTATGTTAAAATTGTGACACAAACCCCTAAAGTCTTCTTCATCCTCACAGGCCTTATTTGCTTTGTGCATTTTCTGATATTTTGCTGAAGATGTTCCACAGTTAAGTGTGTCCAGAGTTTTATTTCTAGGATTTCCTCTGCCAAAGGATGAGGCAGAATGTACCACTGACAACCATGCCACAATCAATGCTTTCAATGGGCTAGCAATTTCTTTCCCGTGTGAACTCTCTGCCACCTATTTAAGTCTTATATCTGGAAAATGACTTTCCACAGTCATTATATTTCTATCAACTACAAGCTCACTCATGACATGTAACATATGAAACAGCACTGAGAGTCTCTCATTCCATGAAAAACTCTCCCAGTTGCTATATGCACACTTGTCTCAGTAAAAACTTGTCAACCATATAATACTAGAAGGTTTTATTCAAGGGTCTTCCACCTTGATTGCATCACAGTGTACTCCTGTGTGCTTTTTGTGACATAAAATATGACATATTTGGTCACCCAAGGTACTACCACATTCACTGCAGTCATAAGGTTTCCCCGTGCCAGTTCTGTGTTCTGCTGACGGTATGTCTCTGGCAGCTGGCTGTCCCACAGTGGCCACGTTCCTGTGTGCTAGGAACCCACTGATGTGTGAGGACACCTGAGCTGCCACAGGAGGCATGTGCACAGTCACTGTATCAACAGGGGTTTTCTCCTGTATGATTTCACTTGAATGTGATGACTTGTGATTCTTTGAAAATGGGTCTCCTAACTTAAATGAACCTACACATTTCTCTCTTGAGTGCAGCATTTCCTTATGAGACACAAGAGATGACAGATGGAAGAAGGCTTTCCCACAATCAGAGCACCCATAGGGTCTCTCTCCTGCATGAGTTCTTCGATGTCTAGTGAGGTATGACTTATCTCTAAAAGTTTTCCCACAGTCGCTGCATGTATAGGGTTTCTCCCCTGTGTGAAATCTCCGATGGGATATGAGGGAAGATTTGTGGCTGAAGCCTTTTCCACACTCGGTGCATACATAGGGTTTCTCCCCTGTGTGAAATCTCTGATGGGATATGAGGCAAGATTTCTGTCTGAAGCCTCTTCCACACTCGGTGCATACATAGGGTTTCTCACCAGTGTGAGTCCGTTGATGTATTAAGAGACTGCCTTTCTGGATGAAGCCTTTGCCACATTCGTTGCACATATAAGGTTTCTCCCCAGTGTGAATTCGCCGATGTACAGTGAGATAGGCCTTCTTAATGAAGCCTCTTCCACAGTCACTGCATGTATATGATATTTCTCCTGTGTGAATTTTCTGATGGGCATTGAGCTGTGGTTTCCAGCGAAAGGTTTTGTCACATTCTGCACATTCATAAGGTTTTTCTCCTGTGTGAGTTCTCTGATGTTCAATGAGCCTGGACTTTTTGGAGAAGGCTTTGTCACACAGACTGCATCCATGCGGCTTCTCTCCTATGTGAACTCTCTGATGATTAATGAGCTGAGACTTCTTGATGAAGCCTTTTCCACATTTATCACATACATAGGGTTTCTCTCCTGTGTGAGTTTTCTGATGGGCATTGAGCTGTGATTTCCAGCAGAAGGTTTTGTCACATTCTGTGCATTCATAAGGTTTTTCTCCCGTGTGAGTTCTCTGATGTTCAACGAGCCCAGACTTTCTGGAAAAGGCTTTGTCACACAGACTGCATCCATATGGCTTCTCTCCTGTGTGAACTCTCTGATGATTAATGAGCCGAGACTTTTTGATGAAACCTTTTCCACATTCGTCACATAGATAGGGTTTCTCTTTTCTGTGAGTTTTCTGATGAGTAAGTAGCCGTGACTCCTTGGCGAAGGCTTTGTCACATTCGGTGCACTCATAGCGTTTCTCTCTTACATGAATTTTCTGATGTTTAGTGAGCCTGGACTTCTTCGAGAAGGCTTTCCCACATACACTGCACCCATGAGGCTTCTCTCCCATATGACCTCTCTGGTGATCAATGAGGCGAGACTTCTTGAAGAAGTCTTTCCCACATTCACTGGATATATGCAGTTTATTTATCTTTTGAGGTCTTTGATGCTTAATGAATTGTGAGTTGGTGTTTATAGAATTTCCATGTTCAGGGAATTTTATTTCAGTATGACATTGCTCATCCTTTGCACAGAGGAAGGATTTTGCATCTCCATTATTCTCAACTGGGTTCTTCACTTCACAGTTTCCAATCTGGTTGGTCAAACTTACATTCGATCTCAATGCCTTCCCGTGTAAGTGAACTATATCATGATTTTGCCTTAAAGGAAAATTATTTTTACTCCAATGAGTAATGCATCTGGATGTATTACGTTTACGACATTGTTCTGTTCTCCTTAGACATCTTTGACTTTGGAAGTGCCCCTGTACATGATCATCATTTTTCTTGATTTCTAGGAAAGAAGAGAAAAATTAATCCTTCCATGGGCTTAGTATAAAACGATTTCACCAACAGCTCAGTGTAGCCTAGCACTTCATTGATAACACCGTGATCTCAGTTCAAAGAAACTCCAGGTAAATATGCTTGTTATCACTTAGACAAAGGTAAAACACAGTAATATAAACAAAGAAAATAAAAGGTGAAAACAGTCATTGTATAAACAAGGTTTTAGTTCATTCAAAATGAGTACATACCTTCAAAATGTGACCTCATAAAGCATGCTGAGATAGTAAAATAAAGTCAAGTTCTTATTAGCACTCAAGCACAGAAGATAGATATTTGTTTCAAAATGATGTGGGACATAGTCATACATCCATAAATCCTTATTAAATGATGACTATGTACCATGCCTTGTGCTGGACATGAGCATACAGAAACATTCCTTATTTTTACTGAGCATACATTCTGGTCAGGAAAAACTGAACAAAAAAGCAATGATAAAGAAGGCAGGCACAAACTGTGGAAAGTGGTTTGAAGGACCAATGGAGAGCAAGGTGGAAGAAACTGGGATATAATCTAGAGAGAGGAAAAAGATGAGGCTCTCTCATGTCTACAACATGGGGCAATCAATAAGCATGAGAAATCAGATATTATCCCTAATTATTTGACTTGGACCACTGAATAGGTGAGTAGTGTGTTTTCATGAGAAAAGGAATATTATGGAAGTTCTCGATGTGGGGAAATCAAGTGTGCATTTCAAAGCATATTGACCTTCAAGTGGCTTTTAGATACCCAATACAGACACAAGAAACTCAACTGGATATAGGAATCTTGAGGAAGGTCTTAATCAGAAATAGCAATATGGAAATCATTAATATATAAATATTATGCAAGACAGAGGATTAGATGAGATTATGTTTGAAAAAACTGTGCAGACTGAAAGATGAAAGCATGGGATCAAGTTTACAGTTAGTATAACATTAAGTAACATTAACAGTTTGGGTATTAAAAAGTTCATGGAGGAGCACTAAATACTGTCTATACTGTTAAGGGAAATGAGCACTCCCACACTTGGGAAACTATTAGGGTTTTGTGCCAGGAACCAAATATGTATTTCTTCTATTACAATATCACACTAGGAAACTGTCACCTTTTCTGGTCACACTTCGTAACTGTTCACATGCAATATTTAAACTGTTCCCATTTCAATGTAATGATCCCTAAATCAGTATCTGATGTCATGATCCCCAAACCCACCATCTTGCACTAACTGCATCTTCTTTAAAAATTCCACACAGACATCTGAGTTCACATCACTAAGGGGTCCTAGAGGATTACACTTCTGTCTGAACCAAGACCCTTGCAGTTTAACCTTCCATTTTTCTTCCTTTTCTAGAACTACTGGGTGTACTTTCTTATCATTACACTGTTGTCACCAAGGTAAAAAGGTAAGGTAAGACTACGCATCTAATAACATAAATCAAACTCCCAAACCTGGCCATTCTATCTCAATCACTAACAAAATCCGTAACAGTTACTCTGGAAATAAAAGTTACATTACCAAAGATTACCCCATTTATGTATTTTCACACAGTTTCTCCTAAAATACCTCTAAAATTGGCCTTTACATAGCAGGTGTTGGGCCAGTCTTTTGAGAGTGCACATTTCCAACTTAACACCTTCATTCTTGGCCCTTCATCTTTATTTGAGTCCCAGAAATGCCTCCTGTATATCATACCATAATTCCCCCATTCAATGTCACCATACACCATTTCCTCTAAATTTCTAAATATTCCTTGTCTTTTTTGTTCATGCTGACAACTTCACACAACCCTCAACTGTAGCAAAAACTGAATGTCTATTACATGCAGATGTCTACTCTATTTGTTACTAAAATATTACTCCCAAAATGTCCCGCTTTATTTCTCACTCAATTAAATCTCTTCTAGCATATATTAGGGGTGTGGTTCCCCAACTAGGCTCAAGAGGGCCCGCTTTCAGCATCATATATACACTAGCTCAGGCTGTCAACTCAAAGCTAACACACTCTCAAAAGTAGAGGTCCTGAGACATGAATTAAGAAACCATGCATTCAACAAATATTCTTTCTGATGGCTACCTGCCCAAGACTCTGTTTACTCTGTACTCACACCATAGGAGACTTCATTCAGTCTGTAGTTCTACCTCTCGTGCTAAAGTCTCCCTGAACTCAGATATATCCAAATGCAGCAGAGTGCTCCACCCGGATGTGAACAAGCACATCTAAATTACAATGTCCAACCCACATCTCCTCTACACATTTCATCTACATCTTGAGCATGGCAACTCCACTGCTCCTGGGATTCATGGCCAAAACCTCACTATCATCCTTCATTTGTAATTTTTTTCTCACACCTTTTATCTACTTAATTAGGAAATCATTCTACCCTCTTTTAATTTTTAAAAAATCATTTATTTATTTATTTTTAGGAGAGAAGAAAGCAGAAAAACATTGATTTGTTGTTACTCTTATTTATGCAATTCATCTACTCATTACATGCTCCCCAACCAGGGACTGAACCTGCAACCTTGGTGTATCTGGACGATGCTCTAACCCAGTTACCAGGCCAGGGTTCTGCTCTCTTTTCAAATATATTCATATGCTGAACACATCTCACCCTTTGTTGTACCCAGGCTGAGGCAATTGTTCTGTCTTGTACTACAGCAAATAGGCTCCCGGCTGAATTTCAGGATCAACCTCTGCCCACAACCATCTACAAAGTAGCCACAGAGATCATTTAAAATATAAATTACATAGTATAACCTTTCTACTGAAATCTCTCAATGTTTTCTCATCTCATTATTTAAAAAAAAATCAACTTCCTGAAATGTCCTTGGAAGGTCCTACATGCCTGTCTACTCCAAAACCTAGCTACCACCACATCACCCTTATCTCCATATTCTCTCCATCAACTGTCCCTCTCACCCACCCCACTGTGCTCACACAGGCTTCCTTGAGGTTCTTCTCAGGCCTCTGAAACTGCTACTTTGTCTAGTTCAGGACGTAATTCACCTAAGGAACCTAATCACACCCCTCATAGAGCTACTTAAAGGCATTTTACCAAAGACCCATTACCTTTCCTAGATGACCAAAGATTGAAGAGCTTAACCTAAATTTCCAACCGCTAACAGCAGCTCCCAGTCCCCTTGCACACTATTGCCTTTTGCAGTTTAATTAATCTTCTCAGCAGTTTTCACCACAAGGCATCATATACATATAGACATATTTTGATGAATTTTGTGTCACCTCCTTTTAGAATATAATCTCAGCCCTGGCTGGTGTAGCACTCTGGATTGAGCGCGGGCCTGCGAACCAGACAATTGCAGTTTGATTCCCAGTCAGGGCACATACCAGGGTTGCAGGCCGGTTCCCTGCAGGCCAGTTCCCAGCAGGGGACGCACAAAAGGCAACCATACATTCATGTTTCTCTCCCTCTCTCCTTCCCATCTAAAGATAAATAAATAAAATCTTTAAAAATAGCCCTGGCTGGGGTAGCTCAGTGGATTGAGCGTAGGCCTGTGAACCACACGATTGAGGTTCAATTCCCAGTCAGGGCACGTGCCTGGGTTGCAGGCCAGTTCCCAGCGGGGGACTCATGAGAGGCAACCATACATTGATGTTTCTCTCCTTCCCTTCCTCTCTAAAGATAAATAAATAAAATATTTTTAAAAGTCTTAAAAAAAATATATATATATATAAAATCTCGAAGCACGTGTAACAGGCCACCCAACAACAGTTAAGGCCATCAAAAAATATTTAAAGCAATGGACCAAGAAAAGGTTCTCATGTATGGAAAATACTACAGAGGTTCCTTTAAATTTAATTGATCCTGAGTTTGGGGAGTGGGGGGAGAAGCAAGCTGTATAAACAAGACTATACCATATTATGGAGGCTGTTGACAGAAATTTCCACCTTACATGACTGATAACACTAGGATTAATTGGGACTTAATGTCATCAGACTCTTGTAAGAAAAAGGAAAGCAATGAATCCAGGGAGAACGGGAAGATAGTGACGAAGTAGGATGGAGTGGATTCCATTTCCCGTACACATGGGAGAAAATCCTGGCAGATCTACAGAGGAACAGCACAAAGAACCAACACTTCCCCAGCATTTATGAAAATAAGAGGCCAGAGATTGTGAGGGACACTGAAGGACCTGAGAGTAAAGAGACAGCTGCAGGTCAGTGGGGTCTTGGGGACCTGAGTAAAGAGGAGAGCAGAGGCTGACGCGGCCAGTGGCCTCCTCCAGTGCCTAGAAGCCATGGTCAGGATCCAGTGGCCTCGGTCTGTGACCAGCGCCCAGGGGCCTTGGCCGGCGACCAGCTCCCAGCATGTCTGCCACGGGAGCCCTGGCACCCAGTGGCCTCGGTAGGTGACCAGCGCCAGGGGCATCTGCCACAGACTCTTCAGGAGAGCTGGCATGTGGCGAGTCTACAGCAGACTCTTTGGGAGCCTTGGGCCTGCTACAGGGTCCTTGGGAGAGAGCTGGGTTATCAGCTTCCTCCCTCCTTGTCTAAGCAAGGTTGGGCAACACCTGGCAGAAACCTGTCTGCTTGAGTTTACAGAGAGGGTGATAAGGCCAAAGAGCTGTGTTCAACCTCAGACGTTGTGGTCTCCAGCCCAGGAGAATTGAGAGGCGCATTGTCGGGCTCTGGCTCCAATAGTCACCGGTATGGCTGGGGAATTAGGCTGGGCTGAGAGGCAGGCTTTCTGGAGAAATTTTTTTGGAAAGTAAACTGAAGGACTCTCCTGCGACAGCAGCTTGGCTTGCTCCCCACCCAGGAGATCCAGAGGAGGGGTGGAAGCCCTTGAGTTTCCCCACAGAACTGGGAAGGACCGTGCCAGATTTCGAGGAATCCAAGCAGCCTGGCTGGCATGTGTGTGCCCACACCCCAGACCACAGAGAGGACCCCCGGGGAAAGTGCTCTGAAAAGAACCTAGATTGCCTTCCTGGAGCACTAGGGAGAGGCGC